TCAATGCCATGCAGTTTAGTTAAATGATAATATTACGTAAAAAAATCAACAAATCACCAAAGTATTTTAGCTACTCACACAATGCTACCTAATTATATAATTAATTCTCATGTGCAAAGGACAGTTGGGTTTTGATTTATTTTGAAACTACATTAATCCTGAAAGTAATACTTTCTAAACGTTATTATTTCTCTTACTTTTTTTTACTACATAGCCCTCTGTCTATTACTCTTTCCTTCATTCTACTTTTCTGACTCCGTTTACATTTTACTTTGCGTTGCAGTTTTTTAGTCAATTGTTTACTTAAACAATATCTCATTCTACCAATAATGCGGTTCCTATTTAGAAGTGAAAGCTGGTTATGATATAATGACACGGTTACTGATGCATCTATTTATTGTTAACATTAACTAAACTTTATCTCATGTCTCTCTGTAATACTACACAGAACTTTGACGTATAGAGGATTATCCGCTATGAGTTAAAGTGATAACTAACGTTACTAAAGGATAAAGATGACCTGTCCAGATGACGTACATGGTCAGAAGAGTTATGTAAATAATCCTTTAATTTGCTCAACGAGTTGTTTAATAAATCATGCACAATTTTTATGTCATTTGAAAGCACACACAAATCTAGGATATTAATAATGTATAATGTAAAATTAATTTTAAAAAAATATCTATTTTTCGGAACATTCTTAAAAAAAAGTAAGTTGTAATCAATTCAAAATAGGGGTTGTTTAGATTATAATGTTAAAAGTAATTTTAAGACGTGTTGTTTTATAAGGTAAAAAAATATTTCATGTAGGGTTTTGGTCAAAATCTTTAACGTTATTTTATGTGTTCTTTAGATGTAAGGGTTAAAATCCATATTATCTTCTTCTGTGAAAGTAGATGATTTTTTTGGATTAAAATTACATCAGTTATTTACTTTTTCATTATTGAAAAATGTTTTGATCTCTAGAATACGTGAAATATTGATGGACTAATAAAATTGGTAGTAAAGATTTAAATATTATATGTGAAATAATATTCAGCAAACCCATGATCAATATTTAACATCATATAAAATTTGGAATATGGTAAAGTCAACAGCTTGACTTCATCTCTAGTCGGTCTCAGTTGTATTTTTCCGAACTTCGATTCAATAAATTTAAGATCTCAAAATATAAATCAGATTTCGTATTTCGAAAAAAAAACATGTTTGAAAAATTGAATTTTAAGAACGTTCCAAAACATACAAACGGGAAATAATGACTTATATATATATATATATATATATATATATATATATATATATATATATATATATATATATATATATATATATATATATATATATATATATATATATATATATATATATATATATATAATCGTTTTACGATAGCTAACCTACAAAATTTGACATTACTACATAATTAATGACTTACAATACATTTGAGTTAATTGATTGTTTATTTTAAAATTACGTTAGATGTGTCAAGTTGACCTATCTTCGACGCCTAATATTAAGGAACATCACGCTTCTAAGTTGCGAGCTCCCCACACATTCTAATGACGTACCCCCACACTTCCAAGAAACTAGATTCCCACACTTTCTAATGACGTATCCCCACTTTTCCAAAAGACGTGGTCGCCAAACTCCAAGATACGAGGTCCTCACATTTCCTAATGATTGTTTCACAGACGTCCATGGGGTTACATCAATTCTGACGTGGGTACCACAAGGCCCAATGACGTGTATTTCGACACTTCCCAGTGACGTTGTCCCCCACATATCCGATTGACGTCAGTGCTCATACACCTAACGGATATGTGCCTCCACTATACAACTAATGTGTGCCAACACACTTCACAGTAACGACTACCCACACATTTTAAAGTAACGTGTAGCGTTATATCCTAAATGACCATCTTAACCTCAAATTATCTTACCTAAAACCTGTAAGTTATGCTACTAATAACCCCTCCCGATTATTGTTTTAATTTAGAAAATCAATCAATAACTTATTATGTTTTATATACACTTAAAACATAATTGCATTTTAACTAGCCTCTATGTCGTAGGTGTTTTCTTTAATATCCTATCCACCTATTATTTAACCATCGCCCTTAATATATTTAATTGTAATAGAGCGGTAATTTTATGCTCACGGAGAAAGGCCTATGGTAAGCTATACTGAGACAGGCGCGGTGCTGTCTAGCAAGGCAGGCCGACTAATCAAACCCAACCACCATATTCCACAGACGTCATTATACAAGGCTGTCCAGTGAAATATGAACACAACCCCACCTAGAAATAATAAATGGGAACTACCAGACCTGAATGTATGATTGATGAGTTTCATTTCATAGGTAAGGTAGTTTTTACATGTTTCTTTACAGTAGGGTGGACAAAATCAACGTGTTCTTTGTTTTACAAGTGTATTTTAATTAGTTACAAGCTTGTAACGGACAATAAAATTCAATGAGTCGAAAAACTGTGCAACATACATACTGACATAAGTTATAATTTTTTAAAATGTCAAATCAAATTGAATACAGATAACTATTGCCCAAAAAACAACAGAATTTCCCTGAACATTTTCCTGTCTGCACACACAAAAAATAAGATCACTTCATGCACGATAATATAATGCCTTGCCTCGGTTTAGATATCTCTTTAGAGGGCAGTACCTTCTTAAAACCTGCTATAATACTTTAAACAGCGACCACCCATCCACGTCGGAAATTTTAAGTTCGTCAAACAATTTAAACTTGAATCAAATGACTTAGATTAAAATATATCGTATTTATTTCACGATTTCTAAGTTTTATTAATACTATAATGTAATTTGTGTTTCTATAATTCAGGTTTAATTATAAATTTAATAAAGAAATACTTTTTTACACACTTGAGTAAACATACTTAACAAAGTTTTTTTTTTAAATATGCAAAACATAATTACATTTCATCACATTAACTGGTCAAAGAACAATAACTTTTCAGTGTAAAAAATGAACAGTTTAATTAATTGGATCTTAAAGTTAAGTTTAGAGTTAGGTATAGGGTTATGTTCCATAAAACGTCCGAATGTGCATATAGACATTTAATTGGAAAATAAATATATTTCCTAACACGAGCAATCGAGGCTATGTACTTGTTAATAAACACCCAAGTCACTGTCCTCTACAGATAGATTTTTCACAGAGGCCAGTGAAGGGCCTGGCCGGGACGGCTGGTAAAATATAAATATACGATTTTCATTTATAAAAACGCAATAATATTTGTTCTCTAACATTGATAGCAAGCACGTTTTTTTGTGTGGGCAGATAAATGGCACGAATGGATTTGTACAAAAAACAGAACATTTGTGTGTGAGCTGGAGTGGTCCAGCAACTATGCCTCCCACAGCGAGAATAATTCACGACCTATCTCAGTTAGTCCACAGGAGATTGCAAAGGTTCAACAAACAGCAATGGCGCACGAGTTTAATTAACGTTTAAATATATAAAGACGTTATAAATATTTTAAATTTACGTTTTATTTATGGTCTTTTGTAAGGTATTTATTTCATTTATGAACTTTTCATTTTTTCTCGATAAAACACATTCTTTACACAAGAAAATCAGCAAAGAATATTAGCAAATTGACAGAGACTAGAAGTCATTTCTCTATTATATTTATAATTTACATATATTATATATCATATGTGTCTATATATATATATATATATATATATATATATATATATATATATATATATATATATATATATATATATATATATATATATACTCATATATATATTTACTTATTTATTTATTTATATTATTTATACATAAGCCTTGTGTTCAAACAAAAGCTCGAAACATATTTACAAAAATACCCCAAACTGCCCCTTCGTGCTTTACATGCGTTTACATAACTATGTTTAGGCAAACACTCTTGTTGACTACCACGTTTGTTGATAAACACTTTAGGTATTGACAAACAAAAAAATATGTTGGTAAACACATTTGTCGCCAAACACATCTCAACACAGAAAATTGTATATCAGCTTTCGCAGCAACCTTAGTTAATTATCTGTAATAGCTTAAAACCATTTCTTCTCCATCTCTTATGTATGGATTTACAACATGCAGTAATTAAAAATATCTTCCAGGAGTAATCCAATAGTAATATGATAATCCAATAATTTAATCCAAAACTAGTTTTTTACTTATTAGGGATTTTGTTGTTGTTATCACGTTAGAGTGTTTCGTATTATAATAACATATAAGTATACATTAAAGAAACATAAACTTTTTTTTCTACACATAAATGCTGCTAAAAATTCTAAAACATACTAAATTATATGTTTTAATACAAAAATAGTCTTTAATATTATAAAATAAATGCAGTTGAATGAATATTATAAGACAAAGTGAGACATTAAGTTTTTAGCTTGTGTAGGCAATGCAGAATGAAACTTAAGCTGTATTAAGTCAAGCTGACATGGCCTTTATAACATCAATCTCAATGGAATAGGCCTATGTATTTCAACTATACTAAGATATCTAGGGTTTCGAACACAGGCCGATTGGAATTGACCTGATGGTTTCATTATACCAAGCAGTCTAAGGACTCAAATATGTGATCATGCATCTATCTATAAGACCAATGGATAATGTGTGTTCGCTATTCAATATAAAGGTTTTGATATAAACACTAGTAAAATTATCTTACCAAGTATTTTGGCAGATATAATGCAGATAGAATAACTGATTACCAAGTAGGTAAAGCAACATTTGAACATAGTATATTGCATGTTTTATTGCACATAATAGTCATATACACTATTGGATAATTTAATATATTTTTTCTTTGCATGTAGTGGGGAGATAATAATATTTTGATATTTATAAAAAAATATTGTAGTTATCTCCCCGTTTAACACACATACATCTTCAATGATTTTTATATTTAGGAAATCAATGTGATTATTAAAAAAAATACAAAATAAATTTAAAAAAAAAAAAATTAAAACAAATAAGCTGACAGTTAATTAACTCTGAAAAACTTCCATTTTCTTTTCTTATTTTTCGTCTGTTGCCTGGGCTCAGCCTGCAAGTTTACATACAGGTCCTCGGGCTTCAGGTTCACATACACATCTTCCACACTGACCTGTGGCTTGTGTGGGGTGTTGATTGTGAGCTCAGCGTATGTCACGGCTTCCCTACGTCTGCTCCGCTTAGTCTTTGGTCGCGCGGATGTTTTGTTGAAGTCAACCGTGATGTAAGTCAGACCTTCAGCAGAAATAAAGCGGCCGTTTTCCTGTGGAAAATAAAATAACAAAGTACAAACACACTGTATATAATCATTTCAGTTCAATACACATACAAGTAAGGAAGAATAAAACGGTGTATTAGTCTTAAACAAAGGAGTAAGACAAAATTAAATACACTATAACGTATAATATATTTTACACATCCAATATTTTTTAAATATATATTTACATTTAATTCCAAACTCCATACATATACAGATAATGAAGAATAAAATGGCACTCCCTCCCCCCACCCCCCAAGAAAGTCTACCGTCCCCACGAATAAAATGGAATTTATATAGAAAACATTCTTTTACCAGTGTAAGAATCAAAGGTGAATACATTAATTGATTGTGGACAGAAGACTTATGTACATTTGGCTTTAGATTGTGATGCCTTAAATTTTAGATGATTCCAATAAAATTAGAATTATCTAAAGACGAGATTAACTTCCTTTACCTTTGTTCTTAATTTCAAATAAAACGAACTTTACAAATGTATTGAATAGGCTGCAGGTGTAGTGCATATATATGTAACTATATAGGTATGGCTATATATATATATATATATATATATATATATATATATATATATATATATATATATAATATATATGTACAGCTATAAATATATATATATATATATATATATATATATATATATATATATATATATATATATATATATATATATGTAGAGCCTATCTAATATATAGCCTTTTTATTAGCCAATATATTTTATACTCTATATATTTTGCCTATATATATATATATATATATATATATATATATATATATATATATATATATATTAGATATTACTTAGTTTATTAAAAGTATATTGTCATAACCTTTAGTTAAATCATTGAATACTGTTCTTTTCTAACATCATATGCCACAATTTTTGCATATTTGCTTGACAGTTATATATAAGTGGTTAAAGTAAATGCTTATGTGAATTTTAAAAGTACATTATTCGATTTGATAAACACATGAACACGTAACATATCCATACCAAATATTTGACTTCTTTTTGTCCTGTAGAGTCACTTGTTGTTATAGTGATTGGGTCTAAGTCTTGATTTGTAAATGTATCACTTTGTGTATTTAATAAATTCATATAAACGTTTTCTGAAAAAAATCGTGTTTCAAAGATGTTGATTAACTTTTCAAACATTACGTTAAAGTCAAGGAATAACACTTGACTATATAATGTATTTAAGCTTTATTATGATTAATTTTCGTGATCGTTTTGTAATCAAGTGCCATTATTGTAAAAAAAAAACTGTGACTCACCATGTATTAAGTTGGAGTCACGCGTCTTCGCCGATTTCCTAAAAAAATATACAATTAACGTTTTTAAAGAAAGCTGATGTAATTTTTAAAATTTATTTCTGTTAATAGTTTAGAAAAAAAGAGTCAAAACTGAAAAATCTCCGTTAAAACTATATTACAATGATGTTAACTGCATTAAAATATGTTCAATTTTATATAACTGTAATGATAAAAGCACAAGTAATTATGTGTTTTTATTATTATCTTTGTAAATCATACTCAAAATCATCTTTACCTTGAATATAGGCACAATTTTCTTATTTCTATAGAAAAATAACACGAGTAAAAATTTAATTTCTTAATATTTTGTAAACCAATGCGTTAAAACGGTAACAAAAATATAATGCACATGTTTATTTATTTTTATTTCACACTTTTAGTTCAATTAAACGCATCATTTAGCGTTACAAATAGATTAATTAGTATAACGAGTCATATACACTTACTGTGTGCCTTGATAAATATAATGAAACAAATAATAGAAAGTATGATCACTGAAAACAACGTCGACAAAACTATCACCATAGGCTTGAGATCTGTATGAAGCTTTGCATCTATTGGTGAAGCTAAAATAGACGGAATGTTGCCGTAAATATAAACACAGTTTCTTCTTTGTATTTTGCTGTTTATCAGAGGCTGTCTTTTAGATTATTATTGAACAACTAGCCATCGGTACCCGTTTCACGAAAAATATAGGCCTATATATTTTTAAAATGTTAAACTTGTTTGAGAAACATCATTTATGAAATAGTTATTGGTCAAAACGCAATGTGCTTTACAACACGCTGAACGATATTAGTGACAAAGCAAAGAAAAACTAATTAGCTAAAAATCCTACACATTTAACATAACACAGGCACACACTGATTCAGTGTTTCTTCCAGACTTTTTTTCTCCGGGGGGGGGGGGGGTAAACTGTCTTCGGGGTGGGGGGGGGGGCGGACACTGTTAAAAGTATATATTTTCTATATAAATTTCATTTCGCTCTTGCGAGGGGGGGGGCGGTAGGCTTGTTTCGGGGGGGGGGGGGGAACCCCCCCCCCTCCCCTTAAGAAGAGATGCCTGGAAGAAACTGCACTGATTAAGTGACTTAAATGATTCCGTTAAAAATCTGGCTATTCAATGGTCATTATGTTGCTTTTTAAGTAATTTGTATTAGTTTGACAGATAAAATTGTATATATTTCATAGCGTACGTCTTGATGAGTAGATCTATAGATCTAGATCTAAATCAAATTTGAATGAAGTAGTTTCTTTCTTTATAGTCTAAAATCGGAAGATTCACATATAAAAAAAAATTAAAAAATTAAGTTTGACTTGGTGTGTCTCGTGCCCGCACAACCTGCGTGGTATTAAGTACACTATCATCTATAAGTTTTGGCCGGAAAAATCGTATTGTATTTAATTGTATAGGCCTACATTTCATAGCGTACGTAGATCTAAATCAAATTTGAATGAAATAGTTCATTTCTTTTTATTCTAAACACGGCAGATGACGTCATTAGTTAATGTATAAACATCAGTGACGTCACAGTTTTATGCGTTCTTTTTCACAACTATAAACGCTTTTCCTGTTACATAATTATAACTGTTTTTCTACATTCAAATACGCCTTTATTTTTTGTTTTTCTTCTTTAAATAAAATGTTGGTTATACATTTAAAACATCTACCATATTATTTTCAACAAAAGTCCGTATCAAGTTCTTCATATATCGCTGCAGATTCTGACGTGATATCCGGCTAAAATATTTTGCGGACAGAGAGAGAGAGAGAAGTGCGCACATGGGCTATTATATATTAGGTTTGTGTACGGGTAACGAAGGACGTAAAGATAAGGCAATGAGAGATTGTCATAATAGAAACAGCCCGTCGGTTTTCTTAAACTGAAGTCTAAAATCTAGAATCAAAGTACTACCTACATTACTTCTCTACTAGCTATTAAAGAAAATATTTCTTTAATAAAATTGTATAGTTTCATTTTAAAAGGAATATTTGCCAACTAATTTAAACTAACTCGTTTCCCATGTTTAAAATAATCGAGTAGCGGTTGAGAGAGATACAATCAAATAAATCTTACGTAAGTTTTGAGATTTTGTTGTCGTTACAGTTGTGTAGCTGTTGTTGTCCAAATCTTCATGAATAACTGTTTATAAATTAAGAATTAGCTAGTCAGTATATTGAAGTGTAATTACCAAGACAATGAGGTACTATGCGATATATGGATTATACAGACATTTAAAAAATAATATATAAACGTGTATTTACAAATTACGAATAGTAATAGAATGTTTATGCATGTGAACTGTAATCAAATATGTGATCATGCATTTCTTCAATAACATGTTGATGCGACGTCATATGCATTGATTAGTGTTTGTTAAGCTTAAGCTGTTATAATATAGAAAATAAAATATACTTTTAGGAAGCAATGTATTACATAAAATGACACACAAATTAAAACAATCGTTATAGTGATATATATATATATATATATATATATATATATATATATATATATATATATATATATATATATATATATATACATACATATATATATATATATACATATATATATATATATATATATATATATATATATATATATATATATATATATATATATATATATATATATCTGTTCTTGTTACTAACTTGTTGAAATAAATATCATGTATGTAAGGTCATATGTGTAGTTTGAGTTCGTTGTCGCAACTGTTACAGATAACTGACCAACATCCTGATGACTGAAGTTGTATATTAGAATGTAAATGTTGTATCTCAGCTTTACAGTTTCATCCTTTGTCCAGTTCACACACAGTTTGCCGTCACAACTATTGTTGTATTTGGTCCCGTTAAAAGTGAGGTACAGTTGGCTATTGTTGTATTTAGTCCCGTTTACATTGAGATACAGTTGGCTGTTGTTGGATACGTTGACGTAGACACACGATGTGATGGTCAGGGTTTCTCCCTCTGTTGCAATAAGTGTTGTTGGATTGTCGGAGATGTCACAAGGCTGGGGGTAATCTGGGGATAAGCAAAACATTACCCTGGGATAATGATTAAAATTGTGTTGTTGTTACAGCTTGAACTTTAACGAACATATTGAATGGATCAGTGAATAGATTTTAAGAAAAAAAACTATTATATAGTTGAAAAAAAATATTTTAATACGATTGCTATGATGAATAGATATCTATTTATAACAATATTGTAGAATTAGTAGGCTTTATAGATGTTGACTATTAACAAACATTTTGACAAATAAAGCCTCCTAGAGCTGTACCATAAACGAGGTGATCCTAATTTTTTTTTTTTTTTTTTTTTTTTTTTTTGCTTTCTAGGTAAAAATGAAATAGGTTATTAACTTTGTATTTCCTCTTATCTTGCAACATGAAATATCACTTAGGCGATTCGGCAATGGCTGTGAAAGGAAAGTATTATTACTCCTCTTCAGAACTGTAATCTTTTTTATTATGATAAATTATATTATGGAGAAAGTTATTTCAAAGTTAATGCATTTTGCAACATAATAATGCAACTAAAGGAGATTAAGTAACATAATAACAAATGACGCAGATCACTCACCAGGCTTATGTTCTAGATGAAAACTGTAAAATAAATCTGGTACTGTAATGATTTTTTTTCCTACTGTGGAATTTCTGTCCGGTATTTTTATACTGACTGTGTACCTGACTAACTTATCTACTGTTACATTGTTTATGTGTACAGACACATACGTGTACAACTCTGTACCGTTTTTGTCTGTGTACACTTGTATATCTGATCCATCAGAGATGTTAATTAAATACGTATTATTGTTTATCTTAATGTCTCCTATGTGTGGTGGATACGCTTTAACACAGAATGTAATGTTGACAGGCTGATGGAGTAACACTTCTATAGACGTGTTGTTGGTCTCATGTTCACATAGAGTTGCTGGACCTGGCATTATGTATATATATATATATATATATATATATATATATATATATATATATATATATATATATATATATATATATATATGTATATATATATATATATATATATATATATATATATATATATATATATATATATATATATATATAGTTCAAAATAATTAATCAAGACTCACATAATATGTAGTTGGAATACTGCAACATTTTGTTTTAAAATAATGAACAGAAGAAAGCAAGATAACAGAGCTACCATCGATATTTGTCTAGCACGAGAAGTATTTAGGCAAGTTTTTATCTTGTTTTATCTCGTTTTTGTTCGCCTTTTTAATTATATTGTGGGTTTATTTTTCTTAATTTTATCTAAAAGAATAATGGTGGAGTAATTTAAGATTATATAATTAACTATTGCGTAAATTAAAATCTAGTATAAAAGTAACCTACCTAATTCAAACTTATTAAACCCAAACTAATGTTAATATAATGTATTAGTATTATTCAGCCGAAATAAAAATAACAACATTGTGATATTTAAATTTTATAAAAACATATTTTATAGAAGCTTAATTCGAAGTTTGATTTCTTTTTAAACAAATTTTACAGACTTTTCTCAATCTACCAGAAGTTCAGAACAAAACCTCATGTCCCACTAATAATTAATTCATGTTAGCCTTGTCACATACACTTGCAGAATAAATGAAAATTAATGGAACTAAAAAAAACTTCTAATTGAATTTCAGTTCTGTCTTCATTTAATTCCTTTTTGTTCTGGATATTAGTACCCATTCATAAATGTACATTGAAATATTAAATTTTGATTTTACTTTACTTTGCTTTTCTTTCATTAAATAAGTGTAATTATTGCTCCGATTTGTATCGAGTGGAATTTATATCACTTTGTCATAGACAGTTTTATCAATTGTGGCCAGTTTTGAAACTAGAATATGAAGTTACAACATTATTTTTTTTTCTATTTCGTAATCTAACAAACTAATTTGTTATATATTTGTAACCATGACACTAAGCTTATTATTCCAGTGGCCGTAATACTGAACAATTTAAATTTAAATATATTTAAATATATAAATAAAATGTGATAATACAAGTATTTCCATTTACTAAAAAGACCGAAATGAATTCAAAAATCAAAACGTATCCTAATATATTTGCTACAGGACAAAACTTTCGCACTTAGCCTAAAAGTAAGTCCTAATAGGTAGTTTTTTTTTTAATTGCATAATAAACGCTTTTATAACATATTGTGTGTAATAATGTACTAAAAAGAAGAAAATAAATGATTTTCTTTAAATAAATAATAATACACTACTATTTAAATAACGTTAAAGAAAAGATTGGGCCACTCTCATCTATTGGATATATTTACTACTATTTTGGAAGAGACCCACGGTTTTCTGTTAGATATAGAAGCAGCTATATAGATTTTATTATTTGATTTTGATATTGTAGAGACGATTCTTCGTCACATAACATCACAAAATGAAACGTCAGATATCCTGTAAAAATTCATTCTAGTATTATCCGCTTAAAATTGCATTTTAGATTTTAGGTGTAACATAATGTATGTACAACCCCTTTGAACTGGTATAGCACTCTAAAACTTTAAAAATGAAGTATGAAATGTACTTACATCTTGTAACAATTAAATCAAAGTCCTTAGAACTCGAAGAGTTTCCTTTATCTGCTGTACACGTGTAGGTTCCCATATCATCACAAGATGTGTTATTGATGTTGTATGATATTTCGTTTGTAATGCTATTCATAGAGGGTGGATCACGTTGGTATTTTTTATGTATAAATAATTTGCTTTGACCTTTTACAAAGAAACACTGTAGTGAAATATTTTTGCGTTGGCCAGTGTTATGAACGGATTGATTTTGAATTCCAAATAAAAATCCATCTGTTAAAATAGATCATAAAAACATTAGAAATTATACAACTTTTGTAAAATTGAGTCAGTTTTAAATTAAAATATTGAATAAAAAACAACAAAAATTATACCTGTATCTGCTATCCGAAGTAATTTAGCATCATTTATTAACATAAAACAAAGATAATTTCTGGAACGCAACACAGCTGCAGGAAAGTAAATTGTTACATTATAATCGTATTGTTTTCCCTGGCTTAATGATATAGATACATTATTTCCCATTTCGTGTTTATTCTTTAGCAATTCTTCACGTAAACTAAATGTTGTTGTTATACAAAAATAGATGAGAATGTAATCCTTAACTGCGTTTTCCGCTTTAATAATATCCGTTTCGTTCATACAACTATCAAAATCAAAGCTAGTATCTGAAAAGTAAAAATAATACGACAATATATAATTTCCATTGGATAATATAATTCAGTTTAAAAGTAAAATATGTTACATTTATTAGTTCAAAAATTAATTATAATTTAACTAAAAATGCAGAGGAAGTTAAAAATAAACATTGCATAGGTGTTACCTCGTTTGGAACAAATCGATGCGTTATCTACCCAAGAGTACTTTAATTCCTGATCAACTCAAAAAACAAAGCATTACATTTCATTAGGAATTAACAATGATTACACTTCTGTATGTGAAACAGACACGATAAGTCAAAGTTACACGAATTTAATTAAAATGAATACTTAACAAAAACGACAAATGACATTTTTATTGTTTTTAAATTATAAAATGGAGATATTACGCATTTTTAAAAAGAAAGATGAGACTTTATTTAAGTTGTTTTAATTAAATCAGTTAATCTAACTGAAACAATACTTATGATATATGTATTTTAGAAAAAAAAATGAATAAAGTACCACTTTCGAATATCTGAGGTCACTCACCATTGCACTAGAAGTGCTAACCTCCTCACTTTTATATACGAAAATGTTAAGGGGAGAACACTCCCGCTTTATTTGATAATTGATTAATCTAAACGGAAAACAAAATAGTGAACAAATTTGAGACCGTCATTCAGTATTAGTGTTTTTGTATGGCCATATGCCTAGATACTGTTGGTTATACGGCAACCTGCGTGTGTTAACACTTCGATCATAACAACATGGCTACACACAAAGATCATAGGAATACACAAAGTATAAATTTAACTCCATGTCTATCGTTGCTAAATGACTACAAGCACTGATACGATTAAAACTAACTCAGATGCTATTCATAACTGACTGAATTCAGGCACATAATAGAAGCTAGGAACAAAGAGTTTTCGGTTGTTTATTACGATCATGTGCTTTACTGTATTGAGCACGTCTTTTTACTTTCTCGTATATACGAAGTATAGAGAAAGTCTTGTAATCGTGCACAAAAAAAATCGACATTTTTGCAAATCTCGACGTTTTAGGGCTCCCTGAGTCGGAAAAAAATAGTTTTGCAATCTTGTCCGTATGTCTGTGTGTATGTGTGTGTGTGTGTGCGTGTCTGTAAACAAGATAATTTCAGTACCGTTACAGCTAGGTTGATGAATATTCTTATATAAGTATTATATCAAAATCGTAGATCCGTGTCAACTTTTGAGCGATTTCCGATAACCAGAAGTGGAACTTTTTCTACTTTGAATTTTTCAAAAGTCTATAATTTGAGTACTATTTCATTTAGATAAATGAAATTTCACATGTAATTAAAATATCTAATTATCTGCCTTCTGTCAAATTTTTAGTAATTTCCATCGACAGGAAGTAGCAATTTACGCTAATTCCGATTTTAAAAAAAAAGAATGTAAATTTATAAAGTACTAATAATATTCCGCACTATTATGCACTTTTATTTGGCGTTCACTTGGTGTGCAATTATTTTTCTATGAGAATTTATTCTTTTTACTTTCTCGTAAAAAATCTAATTCTCTACCATCTATCAAATTTTGAGTAATTTCCGTTGACCGGAAAAAGTAATTTACGCTCTTTCTGATTTCTCAAAAAACACATGTAAATTTATAAAGTACTATTATGCACATTTTGTTTTGGCTTTCGCATGGTGCGCAATTCTTTTTTCTACTAGATTTTATTCTATTTTTAAAACGTTTAAGTAAACAAAAATCATGTCTTTATTCCGAGTTACCATCCCACGTAGTGTTATATTAGAATATTTGAGAAAGTTTAGGGGAGATCACTCCTGGTTTATTTTTTAAAGTTTTAGTATTTAAAAAGGATTAAAAAACATGTCTATACTCCGAGTTGCCATCCCCTGTTGTTTCATATAAATAAGAATATTCTAGAAAGTTGAGTGAAGATCACTCCCGGTTTATTCATTATTTTAATAACGAACAATCTACTGAACACAATTTGCTGTTGTTGGGTATGTTCTGTACACGAGACGGAACGGGGCTTTACAAATAATCGAGGAGTTTAAACGTATTATATTCACAAAATAAAATAAACAAAAGAACTACTATATAATTTATGTCCACCTAACTAAATTATCTGTTTTTTTACACATAAAAAAGACACATATAAACATATTAGTACATTATTTTGGAATTCTAATAACATTTATATTAATAAGTATTTTAAATCATTAACCGTAAAACAATAAACGTCTTATTTTAATTGTTAAATACTTACTTATTGCATCGCTTGAATTTGTTTTTTGACACAGTGTTGCTGATAGAATCTGTAATATCACAACCACTGAAACAATTCGTAGTAAAATTCAATTGTTCATTAAAATAAGATTGTACTACTAGCATACAGCTTGTAGATTATATA